GATCTTGGTGCAGTTAAAGGATCAACTGGTCTTTATCGAACAGCAATGAGTCAGTCAGGTTTAGACTCACCTGGAACTTATTCATCTTATTATAATATGACTACTGCTCTCAATTGCTCTAACTCGATTGTTCAACGTTTGAATTGTACCAATGAAGACAAACAAAAAGTTCTTTCATGTATACGTAACTCTTCAATTGAAAATTTATTTCAAATCTATAGTGATCGTTATACAAGACCAATCATTGATAATTATTTCTTTCCATTGTATCCACCATTAGCAATCCAAAATGGACAATACAATAATATTAGTCTTATTATGGGTAATAATGATTATGATCTATCGGTATGTGTTGATCATCCTGACATGAATTATACTGATGCTATTGAATTAATAAGTCAATCTGTAGAGCATAAATGGATACCGGCAATAGTTGATTATTATCATTTAAAGAATTGTTCAGCAAATCGAACGACTAATAACACTCGTTGTTGTAATATTGTCCTTTCCATAGCAATAGATAAATTTTTTGATTGTGATATTCGTCGATTATTCAATGCTTTTTACTTAAAATATGGTCCACAATACGAACAAAATAAATTATTTTCATATCATTTAAATTGTTATCCTCAATGTCCTATTGTACCAGAAATGGGTATATGTAGACATTCAGCAGAACTTCCATTTGTATTCGGAACTATTAGTGATTTTTATTCACAAGAATTGTTCAATTGTACTTGGGATAATTCAACACGAGTATTTTCTAATGAAATAATTTCACATTGGATTAATATAGCAACAACAGGAAGACCATTAAATCAATGGCCAATTTATGATCCATCTTCACCTAGACATTTCCATATCACACCTGATCGGGGCTTTGTAGCTGAAATATGGAATAGAAATTGTTCGTTTTATGATGAAATGGAAGCAGAAGGAGTTGGAAAAATATTTGGAAATAATCATTACATTATCAAAGAACTACCTAAATAGTGTTTACATTGATTATTTTATTTGTCTAATAAAAAAACTAACTAATAGGAAAAATAAAACTTCGGCATGATAGTAGAACAATCGAAAGAAACCTATGATTTCGAACTTTTCTTTTCATGTTCATTACGTAAATCTAATAATTTTCTTGAATCTTACAAATGCGAAACAGATTTCAGAACAACACATTCACGGCTAAACGAAGAAACAAACATTCACACGTATACATTGAAATATGAATTTGCGTTCACTTCTAAATATGAATTGTATTCATTGAAATGCGTGTCGATTGTTAGTCAATGACTGAGTTGTCTATTATGCTATCGATTTGAACAATATTGTTTCTTTGAGTGTGGGTGTGGTATGACATTTGAAGAAGAGAATCTTCACACCACATACCCACACCCACAACCCGTCGAAAGTAGGTTTTGGATATATACATGATATTCTAAAAGAATCGAATGAGAAGACGTTAGAGTTATAGATGTAAAGGTCGAAAAAAGGAAATTAAAAGAAATTATCATAAGAAGTCTTACCATTAAATTGCCCGGTCATTGCTGCACATCCATCATACGCCTGGCCTACCATAAAATTTGGATCAAGACCAAGAGTTTTTAATTCTTCAAGAATTAATCGAGCCAAATCTCTAGTTCAAACTTCGGCTGATAAAAAAGTAATAAATTTTTCTTGATCTTTGTTTTCAAACGCATATTGAAGGCAAAATGTAAATTGTTCGATATTACTCGCTTCAGTAGTTTCATCGGCGATTACTGTGAAGAATTTAGCATACTTTACTTCATTAAGTATTTGTCCTCGAATTAAATCACCACAAATTTTAATTAATTCATTTTGCATTGTTTTCGAGATGTATGTGGCAGTTTTGCTAGCTGTTGATAGATAGTTTGCTAACGTCGAGTCATCAGCATCAATTCGGGAGCGAAGGAAGAAACGAAAATTACCTAAAATTAATACTAAATCATTAACAAACATTAGACTGTTTACTTACCTTCTCCACTAATAATAGAATCAATGCTAAAATCATCATCATCTCTGTGTCCTCGCAATTGAATACTGTTTTGACTACAAAGTATAATTGTCTTGATAATCGGTATTAAACATTTTCGATTTTCAATTTTTTCCAATTTATGTTTGTTTAATAGCAAATCGTCGATACTCTCGCATTTGTTTTGATATACAGAAACAAATCTTTCAGCATCCAAGATGCTATCATTGTGATACTTTTTAAACTTGTCTCTAACTATTAAACCGTCGACACCGAACAGCTTGCCATATTGTTGACATGGCGAAAGAACAAAATAACCCAAATGATTGTTATCTACTTCTTTGGCGAATAAAACACAAGGTACACAAAAAAAGGCCAGCCTTTGAAGGTCAGTGAACCAGCCACAGTTTATTA